CTGTCGCTAAATGCAAATTATCATTTTGCAATAACATAAACGGTACTAATTAGTGCATCAGATGCAAAATTTTACAATTAGATAGTTGTTCCCCGAAATACATTAGTACTAGTTTTTAGTGGCATTTGTTAAAGTGTCGGTTTTTTTTTAAATTGGTGTTCATTTGATTTAACCTCTGATTAATCTTTTACAAAGACAAAAATAAAAACAAATAACTGAGACTGTATATGCATTGTTTAAAATACAATGTTGTATCATTTTCTCTTATCAGATAAAATTATTTGAAATCAGTAAATAAACAATTAATACAGAGCTGTCACATTGTATGCTTTGCTCCCTAAATTTGATCATGACCCAAAATCGGTCACCTTTTTTCAGAAGCTTGCTTTCACCAGCCAGTAGTCAGCACTCTGTGTTGACATGAATTATCATTGATATGGTCATAATTATAAATTAACTGTTTACAAAGATTTGAATTTTTGAAATGCTAAGGCTTTTCTACCCCAGAAATAGATTACCTTAGCTGTATTTGGCAAAACTTATAGGAATTTTTGGTCCTCAATGCTCTTCAATTTCGTACTTTATTTGGCCTTTTTAACTTTTTAGATTCGAGCGTCACTGATGAGTCTTTTGTAGACGAAACGCGCGTCTGACGCAAATACAAAATTACAATCCTGGTATTTATGATGAGTTTATTCGATGGATATGTGTTGTTGATGACGTCATTTCTTCTTATTTACGATAACAGAAGTAGAATGTCTAATATTTTGCTTGTTAATTAACTATATATGAGATTTTAGCAGACAAGTGTAAATACTTTGTCTGTAAAATCTTGACTTTTCTACCTTTTTTATTCATTGTTGAAATTGGGAACTGCGACACCATTTGTTTGCAATGAACAAAATTGATGGTATAGGTATTATATATAGTCCTGAATATAGATCGGGGAATGTGATGAGAATTTTCAATTCTGCTCCTCGACGTATCTCTATTTATGACATTCTGTGTTTTTTACCAACACCGTTTGGTATTTATAACATTCGCAAGAAGTTTTATTCAAAATCCCTTTCAAAACTTCATTCTCTTTATAACACATGTTTGGAAACCAATGTTACAAACCCCCATACAAACCAATACCAAGTTACAGCTATCATCTCGGACATTGCCAGTAACAGACTCACCAGATCGGTTTGCATGGGAAAAGATGGAAAAGAGAAAAGATCCTTTCTAACAATTTTCTTTGCTAACAAAGGCCTCTATGCCAACAACTTTGGCAATACCCTTCATCATAAATCAATTCACTCGAAAATATCTCCCTACTTTAAAGATCAGTATGTAGGTATCATCTTTTATACCTATACAAAACCAATTGCAACTAAAATATTCAATTATAAACGCATGTCACCGGATCACAACATTGACATCTTCAAGAATAAATCTCGTGATTGCACCTGTGTTATTTCCCTTCTCATATATAATCCGGCTGGCCACGTTGTTACAGGTGACCTAAACATTGTCAATATCATTTCTTTGTGCAATATGTTATCTAGAGGCCAGAAAAATATCGTGAACCTAAGTCCATCAAATGGAAATGCTATGGGTCCAGGAATAAACATTCTACATCGATATTTAAAGACCCAAATGCTGCTAAGCACTAGTCCTACCTCCAAGAAGAAATATGTTGTTATACCCGCAGATGAAGCTTCAAACAACATCGTTTTTGTGTGTAAATTACTTATATAAACTGCTTGATAAGGGAATTAGGTATTGACAATGCACTTTGAAACTCAACATATACGCTCACGACACTAACCAAGGAGGAATTCCTGAATAACCATTGGTCTGTGCTATGCTCCTTTGGAATTGCAAAGAAAAATGAAGAACTGGATATCCTTCACTGTATTTGATACATATATTGCACAATTATCTTAACAAACAACGTAATATTGGTGGATCTTCTAAACGCTCCAAGAAACCCATTTCTAAAGTATTAACATCAATTTTATTAGCAAGCAAAACCGGTCTTCAAATTTATTGTGAAATTACCTACTCTTCAGGTAGCGTGAATCGGATGTGGAATCTAAAAAAAATCCAAAGATCTGTTAGAGAGTTTCTTTCCGCATGCAATAGTATAAAAACCTTTGACTTTTCTACCCTTTAAACAAGAATTCCCAATTCCAAACTAAGAGACAAATTAAAAGAATTTATTTTTCTTTGTGTCAAAGAAAAGAATGGCCAACGTAGATACAAGTATCTTGTTTAAGGTAGGGATAATCGAACGTTGTAAGTTCTCACTCGGATTCAAACAAAAGGTTCTCTGAAACTGAAATTAGCCAGATAGTTGATTTCTTGATTTACTACATATAAAAATAAGAAGATGTGGTATAATTGTTAATGAGACAACTCTCCACAAGAGACCAAATGACATAGAAATAAACATGTTTGTTACGTTTGGAGGACGTGTTTTTCAACAAACTATTGGCATTTCCATTGGAACCAACTGTGCTCCTCTTCTTACCGACTTGTTTCTTTACTCATTAAGGCTGACTTCATATAGGAGTTTCTTACGAAGAATAAGAAGAAGCTAGCATTATCTTTTAACTTTACGTTTCGCTATATAGATGATGTCCTGTCACTAAATAATTCACAGTTTAGTGACTATTTTGATGGCATCTATACCATATAACTTGAAATAAAGGATACAAAACATACAGTTAACTCTGTCTCATATCTTGACTTACATCTAGAAATTGACAATGAAGGTCGACTGAGAACAAAGCTTTACGACAAAAGATATGATTTCAGCTTCCCAATTGTGAACTTTTATTTCTATGAAGCTATATTCCAGTAGTGCCTGCATATTGAGTATATCTCCCAGTTGATACGATATTCCAGCACTTGCATCTCCTATCATTATTTTATAGAAGGTTGCTGATAACAAGGACTCTATTAAAACAAGGGTTCCAAATTGTGAAGTTAAAAATCATCCCTTCGAAACTTTTACGGATGCCATCACGAGTTGGTCGACCGCTATGGAATATCTGTTTCACAGATGACGACATATATGTTCCAATTGTCGCAACCTCTATATCGACCTCTTCTCCTCAAATCTGATCAACCGAATAAGACTTATCACCGGGTTCGTACTAACATGAGCAACACGATGGCTACCACATGTGGAGCAGCATCTGCTTACCTTCTAGATCAGCTGAGATCACCCCTAGTTTTATTTTAATTGGGTTCATGTTACTCTTGCTTTAATTTTAAGTGTTGTTGTTGTGCTGTTTAATTTTTCAGTGTCTGTGTTGTTTTTACAGATAACAGTGTTGTCTATCCTTTGTCATGGAAAACGTTTACATTTTAAAATTTCACACTCGGTCAAATTTCAGGGTGAGAAAATTTACTTGACCGATGGCTTACGAATTTGGTGATGTCTAAGGGTTAAATAAAAGTCTATTAAAATCCGTTATGGTGTGGTGCTATATCACATATACAGCCTATCATCGAATTTTATAGGAGTAAGAAGACAGGTGTCACATGTGGAGCAGGATCTATTAACCATTCCAAAGCACCCCCGAGATTATCCCCGGATTTTTGTAGGGTTCGTGTTGCTCAGACTTTAGTTTTGTATGTTGTGTTTTGTATACTGTTATTTGTCTTTTGGTCGATTTTCTTTTCTTGCCTTGGCATTGTCGGTCTGTTTTTCGAATAATGAGTTTGAATATCCTTTGGCATCTTTCGCCTCTCTTTTACAACTTTCCGATTTCATTCTCAATTCTATTTTTACAGAGTTTGTCTTTTGTACCGTGTGATGACAATAGCTTGCATCCCCGTGCTTAAGGTGTATGCTCTTAATATACAAGATAATGAAGTGTGTTAATAATTTATGATGGAATGATACTAAACCCCAAACGGAAGGGATTGTGCTTGATTTTCATATTATGAAGACTTACTTCTTTTGATCAGTTTAGTTAAGGTCTAGAGCTGGCATCTAAGTAACTGCTAGTAGTCCTTTGGTAATTTATGTTAATCATTGTCATTTTGCTTAGTTTCTTCTGTTACCTATTCTAACATCGGACTGGGACTTCATTAAAACTTAGTTTTACTGTGCGTATTGCTGTGTGTCTGTTTATTCCACATTGGCTAGAGGTATAGGGAAAGGTTGAGATCTCACAAAACATGTTAACCCCGCCACATTTTTGGGCCTGTCCCAAGTCAGGAACCTCTAGTCTTTATTTGTCTTGTATCTTTTTTTTATTTTGGTTCATTTATATGTTTCAGAGTTTAGTGTGGCGTCCATTTCGCTGAACTATTATACATTATTGTTTAGGGTCCAGCTGAAGCCCGCCTCCGGGTGCGGTATTTTCTCGCTGCGTTGAAGACCCATTGGTGGCCTTGGCTGTTTATGCTCTTTGGTCTGGTTGTTGGCAATATTATGGAAGTCTAGGCGACTGTCATACAAGTGAGAGGTTTAGCTAGCTATAAAACCAGGTTTAATCCACTATTTTCTACATAAGGAAATGCCTGTACCAAGTCAGGAATATGACAGTTGTTTTCCATTCGTTAGATATGTTTTTAGCTTTTGATTTTGCCATTTTATACAGGACTTTCCGTTTTGAATTTCCCTTGGAGTTCGGTATTCTTGTTATTTTACTTTTTTGACACATTCCCCGTTACCATTTGCATTTCTACCTAACGGTTATGTCTTTTTTGGTTTTGTTTTAATGTTTTTGAATTCACTTACTTTGTTTTCGAGCATGTCTGATGAAAGTTATCCCAGTCACGTATCGTGCAACTGGAAGTGATATCATAACGTTCATTCATTTCATTGTTAATAAATGCTGGTGATAATTAGAAACAAATGTGTGACTAACAATGATTTTTATATGTGATTATAAACACTTCATAAAAAAAAAAAGTTTTAGAACCATCTGCGTTTATTTCATATGGATTATATTAATTAAAACAATCAAAATAACATAAAGTTGAAGCTTTGAAATTAAATTTATGAAATAAACAGGTTACCAACTCAAAGGGTTAAAATAATCACTAAATCTTAGAATAGATAATCTTCGCCATCTTGCCATTTCCAGATATGACCTGTAAATTACAAAATAAACAGATGAAAATATAATAAAACGTTATTTCATCAACTACAGGAAATAGAGCGTCTACTATTCAATTTGCTTGTTAAAAAATATAACAGAGATTTTAGCAGTCAAGTATAAAAATGTGTGTGTAAAATTGCGTTTTTTGGTTACAACCTTTTTAAAAAATGAAAACAACACGTTATAAATTTCATGCGTCCGAAGAACTTTTCTGGATTTACCTTCATCAGGAACGCTTTATTTTGACATCCAATTATTTCCTTACATAAATACTACAGATGGAATATCTTTCGATAGCACTTTTATCAACATTTCTATGCCCGTTAAAACGGGGTTTTGGCAATAAAGTAGACCAGGAAAACATGAGTTTAACACTTTGAAAGCGCTACATACAGTACGGGTGACAAGTAAGGTAAATTTAAAAATTTAATGGACCGAATACCTCACGGCTAATTTTGGTCTTATTTTGAAGATAAATATAATACCCTTTGATTAAGGCATGTCGTAGAGTGCCAAAGTGGCGCAGATTTTTGAAAACTGTGGTCAAAGGTCAAAAGGGGGGATTTTAAAAAATCGCAATTTTTGGACATTTTGGACAATTTCTCGGTAGTCCCTCATGATAAATGAGAAAAAATTATATGGAATCATGCTCTGGGAGTGTTGCACAAATTCAGCTTGTCATATTTATGCCAGATTGACAGAGATTAGTGATAAATACCCCCGCATCCAACATGGAAGAAAATAATAAAAAATATCTTTATCTACAGAAATTATCGACAAAAAATATTTATATTTACTAAATAGCTGTGTAAAAATATATGACAACATATAAAAATATTTTTGGGAAAGTTTTGTTAACATGCCATAAAGAACAAAGGAGAAATAAGTACAGTATAGTTAACAACCGGTCCATGATTCAATGAAAAAATGATGAAATTCATTATTATTTTTTTAAACCCAAAAGAATGTTGGAACTATAAAAAATAGTCTTGATGCATAAATGTCAGCATGAACACGATAGTATATACATTTTATTTTATGTCAATAGGTCAGTACGAGAGCAATATCATATTGAAAATATGTGTCCCCTTTTTTATAAAACAACACAAACAATGGAATAGAGAGCATAATCTTGACCTAAAACGATTTTAAAGCACGATATATATCAAACAAACACGATTCACAGAGATTATGATAATAATTAAGATATTTGTGTGTGTATATTTCTGTAACACTTGACATCAATATGCACGTCCATTTGAAGTGGTAACGGAAAACTAAGACAAAAATGTATCGATTCGATGTCATGTTATACTTAATATATATTCGACAATGTCTTCAATTTGTTTACAAGCCCACCAACCACGTCAAGGTCGGAAAAATCATTTTGTATTTTTTTTTAAATGGTTTTGTTAAGAGAGAGAGAAAACCTCCCTATACACGTCAAGTAAAAAAGCCACTTGCAGCAAACACATGACTTATTGGACATTAAGATTAACACTTATTCATCATCCTTATCGTTGCAATCTGCCATAACAGTCTGATGAATAAGCTGGTTTCTACAATCATCATTGCCCTGCCAACCACAAATGCTTGTGCATGACAAGTTTTGTTCATAGCATACACACGATTTGCTACAAATAGTTTTGCCTTTGCATGTGCAAACAAGATCCTGTAAAACATCGAAAGACATTGGCCCTTCAAAATATACTTGATTTATGGAGCTATTCCCCATTGTCCATCCATATTCCAGAGGTGATCTGAGTGGTGTTTTGGCGATATGAGTATTCATCCAGACTAACACTTGTAGTGAAACTCTAAAAATGTGTTCTCTGAATGATGCCTCTGAAGGAGGTAGTCTCACTAAAGAAGCATCCTTAGATAGCGCTGACTTCACTCTTATTAAGATCACCATGTACTAATTGAGCCTTGCCTTTGGGGTCATATAGATCAGCGATTAATTATCTTCCCACTGCAATAGATGTTTCAATATCAGAACCAGCTAGATTTGTCAAACTTTGATATCTGAACGGGTTTTATTTCAACGCCTTATATACTGTCTTTTTGCCAATTCCGAAGAAAGAAGACGTCGTGTCGCATCCCGTTAGAGTGTGAGCAGCTGGTAGAGTGAAAATATAAGAAAACAATTGTCATCTATTTGTCACGAAATAGAAGTTAACCTGTCAAGAAAATTTATCAAAGATATAGGTATAAATTGTAAAGCTGTAGGGATAAAAACTTCTGAAGGAGATGGATAATATTCATTTGAAATTTTGAGCGATCGTAAACTGCTTCTCAAAATGTTTGACGCATCATGAAGGGTCTGATCTTCCTGATGTATGGAATCATTTACAAAACTTGTTTCCATTTCTGAATATTTTAATTCCGCTTTTAAACAACTGGCAGCACGAATACTATAGCCTCAGAAACACTAATCGAGCTTCTAAAAATCATATTGGATCTACCCTATCCTCTTTGAGTCTGAACAACAATGTTATCACAGTAGTTATTTTCTGGTTTGTGTTGCAGTTGAGTAGTTGTATATTTACTTCTCATTTCTTGTGGAAGAAAGGAACAATATGTATCTAGTAAATGCGACAACGAAAATGCTTTCTTTTTCACAAACATATCATCGTGTAGACTTTCTGTTAGGTTTCGGAAAGCAACGTCATGCTCCGACTAATTTGAAGCATCATAACCAAGTTCCTTTTTTCCAGTTCAGCATGTAGTTAGCAATGCATGCTGAACGATACAGTGCCGCGCTTGTCCTTGAAGTTATCTATAGAAAGTAAACTTACCATTGGATAGTCAGACTAGTCTTTTGTGGCATTTAAGATATTATCGGCACTTTCAATAGACTCGCTTTAATTGCTTATCTCGCTTGTATGAGTTTTGTCTACAGAATAAACATTTAGACCACTGTAATGGTAATGCCATAGAGCGTCTTTTAACGAAATTTGATTCATACACGGAATGTTTTGCACTCGCTATTGAGAATTGGTCTTTCCCTAATTGAAACGTTTCCATTTTTTTTTTCTACTTGGAGAGGCTTTATTTCACGACCTATGATACTTTATTTGTTCTAAGTGAATCATTTTGGTTGAATCAAATTCATCATAAAGGCGGCGATAAACAGTACCCTGTCTCACATCTATTACATCTAAAAGAGTATTTTACCTTTTTTCTGTTGTATTCGTTTGAAGAAATTTGGCAAATAACGCATTATTCTCAATTACTCTTGAGTCTACTCATTTTCGGCATTTAGTGAGCAAATTTAACAGGACTCATGTCAATTATTTTCCGTTTTTTTTTCTGCGGTGTACCAATGTGGTCTAAAATTAGTCTATTCGAAAAACTCGACAAGAAAATAAAACACCTCAACAGTTACTAAACCTGAAATCTACTAAAATCTGTAATAAGTCAAAAATCTAGACACAAGCATTGATAAAAATCTATATTCTTAAATACAAAAATAAAGAAAATACACAGTTTAATTCTTTGTAAAAACACAGCAAATCATAGGTCAAGGGAAAATAGGAAAGGGAGCGCAACAAGACTTATTGAGGTGAAAATTGAATAGTAAAACTGCTATATGATGAGTATTATAAAAAGGACGGTAAAAGTAAATTTGTATGCTTTCTCAAACTTTTATATATCAAAACTTCTTTCATATTGGTTGTTCAACTATTTTTTGGGCAAATTGACTACTGGTGATATATATAAGAAAAGTAATATACTTTGAGAGACGGTAAGATTGAAAAAAATGTCACATACATTTTGAAAATCGTCCAATTTACTCAATTCATATGTTCATGTGATATTAAAGTTTGATGTTGAATAAAAACTGATGTATAACTGTTTCATTTGATAACAACTGTTTGGTGGTTTATTCATTCGGGAATTTATTATAAGCGTTCCCGAGTTTGAAAATGAAAAATAAAAAAATCGGAAAGTCACACTTTATCGGGATTTTGCAAAAAACTGCACCGTGGGAAAACTCTACGACAGGGAAAATGAAAGTATAATGTTTACTCTATCTTCATGTGAATTTTCAGCCGTGAGGTATTTCGGTCCATTAAACTCTTCAAATAAGCAACTTTTTCTTGATTTGTCACTCCACTAATACCACACATTATATTTTGTTTTTTCATTTTTGCCGTGAAAAATATACGAAATGAACTTGCTTCTTTCTTAAATGCAAAACAAAATGTGTCAAGTTACCCTTGACTAACTGCAGTTTTTATGGTTATTTCGACTGATTATTTACAACATTTAACAATAATATAGATACAATTTCAAATCAAAACGTGATTGAAAAAATCATTGTCTTGGCCTGCAAGTCACATGGTAATTTTCCGGACGATCGATTTTTGGTTACGTGTTTCTGGTGCCATTGAAAAGCACAAATTATTGAATACCGCAACGTTAGTTTCCGTAGTTCATTCGTCTTTAGTGTCTTTAATCATTATCTGCTAAGCTTGGTGAATATGCTCCTTATAAGAAAAATAATTGTGAAAAAGCCTTTTGTTACCGATTTATGGTTAATCATGGACTATGTACCTGTATTGTACAGTCATTTTCTATTATAGGACGATTCATTAATCAATATTAGAAAGTTTATTGGTTTTAAGATTCGACCGGACTAAACTATGTTAAAAAACAAACTTAACATGTAAAAAATCTTATGTGTAAACTATTAAGTACGTAAAAAGGAAGTCGCAGCTACAAATTACTATCTAGAGCATTTATGGACTACGCATTTGTGCATTTGTTAATCACGTCACGGTCATTCTCTTCTTAGTTAAATACTGTTGTGTGTTTATTTTCGCAAATGCTCTAAAAATTAAGACAAACGATCCGTTATTCATTAAGGGTAATCCATTTCTTTTTCAAATTATATCATAAATGCTGGTCTTGTTGTAAGTTCCATTTACGCTGTGTAAGGAAGATGGCAGCCAACATAATTATGGTCTTTAACATGAAACACATATGCGTACGTGTTTTGCATAAGTGAGGTCGTTGGTTTTTATCTTTTGAATGGATTTATATTTGGCCATGCCGTGGTCTATTATAGATTACTATACGATATTGGTTTTGCTCATTGTTGAAGGCCATACGGTGCCTTGAAATTCCTTACATCCATTTCATTTTAGCGCTGGTATATAGTCTCATTGTCAATCATACCACATCTCACATCTCGTTATTTGTATACACATAGTAGATGCTTACACTGTCAACGCATCTAGTCTCAATCTATTCGGAGTTCACACAATTCTGATTGTGTTATACCTGTACTAATATGATTCATTATTTAATTGCTTTTCCAGTTTTTCAAATATAAAGTACATATCGTGTTGCCAATATTTCCCTGGTTACAATACTTAAGTGCTTCATATACCTACTCTGATTTAATCTAAATAGTGATATATGTACAGTCACTAACTTAAAAATTGTTCTTTCAATCTCAATTACTTGTTATTTCCGTTTTGATTTATTACTACCTTTATAATAAGATTTGTTCATTGTTAGATAAATAAAGGCAACAGTAGTATACCGCTGTTCAAAACTCATAAATCGATAGAGACAAAAACAAATCCGGGTTACAAACTAAAACTGAGGGAAACGCATCAAATATAAGAGGAGAACAACGACACAACAAAAACACAACATTAAAATGTAACACACACAGAAACGAACTATAATATAACAATGGCCATTTTCCTGACTTGGTACAGGACATTTTAAGAAAAAAATGGTGGGTTGAACCTGGTTTTGTGGCATGCCAAACCTCCCGCTTTAATGGCAACGTCAAACACAACACCAAAACGACAACATCACATGACAGGACCACAATACAAATAAATGGGAGAACATATAGGACAAAGAAACACACGAATAGAACTGGTGTCCAATTGAAAGTATCCTGTGAAGCGTCTTACCGAGAAAAAACAAAATGTATTCGACTTGTTGGTTACAAATTAATCAAAGGTCTATGTCAAGTAAATCCCAAATCTACAAAGTATTCGTTCAGGTGGTAAGGGGGCAAAAGCAAAAAAAGTGTTCATACTTTTCCAGTTGGTGCTTTTTTCAATATATTATTAAAAATATGATAAAAACTATAGGTCAACGAGGATGTTATAAACTGCAAGTTGTGACAAATTGCACTCACTTCATTACAAAAATAGACCGATCAAGTTTTGCTATTTTACGATCCAAGATGGTGGAAGACCATATACAACGTTAAGGGGTTTTTTCTACGCTTTTGTCATGCTTTATTTGCAATACTCTGTCTACCACAGTGAATCTAGTATACTAAGGCATTTGAATTCGTTTTAGAAATTTCCCCCTGAAAATACAAGCGAATCATTTTTCTTCTCTTTTATAAATTCATAAATGATAAGAACAGATCCACTATTATATATGTAGTTACAGTAAATACTTACGGTTACTAATTGGTTTCCTATTACTTCTCGAGTAACTGTGGCTTCCTTGTTGTCATATTTCTGTACTTCTATTAGTTTGTTACCATCTAAATTATATCTAACCTGTTAGAAAGAAAATGACGCTCATCTCTGTAGTTCAATAATAAGTGGCAACATATATCAAAGGGATAAGTCGAGAGGAATCGAACAATACCATAGCCATAGACAAACTCAAGGAAAAACAAACAAGAGTCTACAAAACACTATACAAAAAATTAAAGACTCAAGTTTCAAACTGCAGTAACGATTTAAGTTTTGTTTAAATTTGATTAACACAAGAATACAAAGGTAGTAAACGGTTGTTCAATGAATATCTCAGTCAGCAATGAGTGTAAAAATACTTTAAATCGCACGAACTCCATGAACGTTGTAAGACCAGGTGAGTCGACATGATAAACGTTTAACTTCCCTGTTAACGCCGTCAAGAATGTTTGAAAACTATTGGCCCATATATGTTGACTTATCTACTATTGGAAAGAATGTAAACGACATCATGAATGCTTGGCTACTTATAGACTGTCCACCACCATGAATGTTTGAAGACCTCGTTGTTTTGTTGTGTTGTCGTGTTGATGTTCCATTGTTGTTCATCGAATAAACCTTTAATTCATTTTGACTACTGATAATCTGTCTACTAACGCCGCCCTTTTCCACTGCGAACGGCGTTGTGAATACTTGATATTAATACCACATTATTATTATTATCAATATTAAAGTTATATGTGCTAGTTATGTCCGTATAGCATGAACATGCATGTGAGTAACGTAACAACTGAGATATTTAAACGCCATACAATGGAGCAGATGGTATTATATTACTGAGAAATGTGAGGTTGACATCAAAATATCTGAAAGTGAAATTTAAAGCTTGTGAAGACTTTTTTCTGTCCTTGAGAAGTTTTCGAATGAATTCTGCTATGTATGAATATTTGTTTTTAAAGTCGGTCAGTAGGGGTGTAAAGAAGATTTGCAGTCTAACCAAACTTATCTAATTGCTTGACTGATATTATACCATAATCTTTTTGCCGTCCATTGATGAACTTGGGAATTCTACTCCTAACTTGAAAGTGACTTCTGTACTTAGATGTCCTACTATCGTTTTAACTCTGTACTCGTCTTCATTCACAATTATCTCTTGTGTTGGTTTGATAAGTCCTTCCTTTGTCTTTGATCTCATATCACTATCAACACCTGCTTGCAATGAAAAGTAATACCAATTATACCTCAATAATAGAGGATGATAATGACAAATGTTGAACAAAAATCTTATATAATTGTATTTTTCGCAATAAGTAATTAAAATAAACATTTCTATCACAAATTTCGGTTTTAAAAAGACTTTACCGTTCGAGGTTTATTAAAACTATTTTTCTATTTTTGACTAGAACTTAATTTCGGTTTTGAAATATATATTCATATTCATTAAATCACGAAATTTTGTTTTAATTAAGATATTTAGTATCTACATCTCTTTTTTTTATTACATAGATTCTACCTCTACATTGAGTGTGATACGATATTTCTCGGTTCGTGACAGTTAAATAGTCAAAAATTAAAACGCGAAGCTAAAGTTTTGTCGGTATTTTTAAATATTTAAATTGAACTGTGGAGAGGAGAGAAATGTCTTATCGTTCGAGATAGGGTATAGGGTCTATTTCTCTTTAGATTCTGTGACAATGTAGAGGCATAGTGTGTCGCTTTTTTCGTGACTTCACAATAGCAAAGTCTGAGGACAGCGCGGATTCGAATTTGTTTTCGCTGAAATTCAAGATTAAATACTATCGTACACTTTAAATTTTAAGCATCAATTTGATTTATATACAGAATTTACTTATAATTCAACTTAGAAACAACATGAACATAAATGCATTGACAAAAATATTCATTCATTAACTTGTTAGTATTTTGTTTTCAATTACTTTTTTTATGATTCTTATCTTCATAACTTATCTTATACAACTACTATAGAGGCGTTTAACGACCCGCGTACCAAAGAGAGTCTCACGTGATCGGTATGTTAGGATGTTTGTATTCTAATATCAAAACCTTAGCTTGACGCTAGATAGGTCATAAAATCTTTTATTATTGATGGTTTTTAGTTATGATTTTTAAATGAATATACACTTTACCTTATTATACTTGGTACCGTTAGGAATATAGGTACTATTGTAATTCAAATGAGAAGATCAGACGGTCCTACTGATCAATGAGAACAACTGGATGCAAAGTGAATGAAATTGACACAACAACAGGTTTTACGGCGGGTAAAAACGCTTGCGTGTGTATGAAATATACAAACAATGTATCAGTTTAAGTCCCTCGGAAAATGCTCAATATAGAGACATAATGTATTCTGAGTTTATTAACTGTCCAGAACCTGATGATAAAATCAATTTGATTATTAAGATCAGAAATGATGTTCAGTACAAATAATATAACATACAACACAACCCTTCCCCTCCCTGCCTTCGAAAGACAACTGTGTACTCACCAAAAGCTTGAAATAAATCATCTAAGTTCTCTTCTGAAACAACTTTCCATTTTCCTTGAAATTGAGACATGTTTTGCTCCTATAGGAAATGGTTAATTGAAAATACGTTGTATCTCAAAGGGTTTCCGGTGATATGATCAAATACGTTTTATATAGGTCTACCGATAATATGATGAAAGCACCTGCTTTTTATCAAATTTAGATTATTATATAGAGACTCGTTTGACCTGACAATAATTATCAAAAAGAGAGGCGGAAGAAACCAAAGAGATATTCAAACTCATAAGTCTAAAGAGCTCTTTGACATAAAAATCGAGCAGTTTTATGCTATACAAAAAAGTAAAAAAGGTAATGTAAATATAATTAAAGAATATCATACTTGAACCTAGCTGTGAGGTTTTAATGTTAGAGACGCCCGGAGTAGCGACATAAAAATGTATCATAGAACTACCTGTAACGGGAATGTTTTAATGTAAACAAACTCATCATAGATACCAGGATTGAAATTTTGTATTTGCACCTGACGCGCGTTTCGTCTACAAAAGCCTCATCAGTGACGCTTGAATCAAAAAAAGTTAAAAAGGCCAAATAAAGTACGAAGTTGAAAAGCATTGAGGACCAAAAAAAAGTTTTGCCAAATACAGCTAAGGTAATCTATTCCTAAGAGACTTTCGGAGTTATGAGATAAGAATGTATCATAGAACTATCTGTAATGGGATGGTTCTAATGTAAGCGACGTCCAGATTAGAGGCATAAGAATGTATCGTAGATCTATCTGCAACTGGAAGTTTATAATGTAAGAGACGACCAGAGTAGAGGCATAACAATGTATCAAGGAACTATCTTTAATGGATAAGGTTATAATGAAAGAGACATCAAGAGTAAAGGCATAAAAATGTATCATTGAACTATCTGTGGTGGGATGGTTATAATGTAAGCGACGTCTGGAGTAGAGGCAGAAGTATGTATCATAAATATATATTTAATGGGAAGGTTATAATGTAAGAGACGTCCGGAGTAGAGGCATAAGAATGTATCATATATATATTATTATCTTCAGTAGCACGCATTACACAAATGTTTGTGTAATCCATTCGAATCTATCGCTATCTTTACAACTATGGATAGCGCACTGCATCTTAAGAAATTAAGATCTTTAACTAAAAAGAAACTTCAAACTGAACATCATATATCAAACTCAAAAAATTATATTCAAAGTAGAACTGTACCAAAAGGTTTAAACATCGGCACCGGGACAGAAATCCAATAGGTTCATGAGCCGTTGAAATGAAATTTGTTTAACTGTTCAATCCAGCTACTTCAACTGTTACTTTCTTTTACAACCACAAATTACAAACAAATTGTAAATGAAATATATGATATCATCAACAGTACTCACATTTCACGTGACGATTTACCAAGAATAAAACGTCGCCTCGAAGATATCGAAAAAATTGAACAATCCAAACATTGGGAAAAACAAAGGAATAAATTTCAAAGAGATAAAGTTCACACTGTTCTTTAAATCAGCATATTAATGATATCAATACAACAAACCATAAGGCCCCTAGAAAAAGAAAATTTAAAAGACGGAAACAACAAAATGAAAGTATTGTTGTAAATTTGTCATCTAAAGAACTAACACGTGCAGAAGACTCTCTTTTAAGTAAAGGTTTAAACTTCTGTCCTATCCCATCAAATGTAAATAACTTTCAGCTAGACGAGGACTTAGACCAATTCGGTAGACGTTTACGGTTGAAAGATTTTTTCTACAATAGGGGCAAGAAACACCTTGAAGAAGCGGATTAACAAATTCAGATACTGAGGACAATGACGAAGTCACGCCCATCCCAAAATTTAGAAAGAAAAGTTCATGGAAACCACCAAAAAGTAAAAACGAAAACTTGGAGTTATTTATTTACTACGTGAGGTCAGATATAAAGTCCTGTATAACAAATAAAAGAAATTATAATTTATCCAAGTCAGAAAGCATCGCTTTGAAAGCGTTAAAAGAACAAGAGGATATTGCAATAAAACCTGCCGACAAAGGGGGCGCTGTGGTTGTCATGAATAAAACAGATAACATAGCAGAGTGGAATCGTCAACTGTCAAACTCCAATTTTTACAAGCAATTAACCACAGATCCAACACAAACTACCTTTCGAAAGATCAACCCCATCCTTCAAGAGAGGTGCGACCAAAAGCATATCGATAATGACACCTTTGACCATCTTCGACCTCTTGAGAACGAAGCAAAGGCTGGAAGATTCTATATGTTGCCTAAAATACACAAAACTCGCAATCCAGGTAGACCTATTGTTTCAGAAAATAGTCACCTACTAGTAACTGAAAAGATATCCGAATTTGTAGACCATCACTTAAGACCTCATGTTAAAGAACTACCCTCTTATATTCAGGATACGACAGATTATTTAAAGAAAATGGAAAGCCTTAATCCTCTACCTGACAATACTATACTCGCATCCATGGACGTGTCTTCTTTATATACCAACATTCCACAAGACGAAGCAATAGCAGCGTTTGAAGAGGTATGGAACACTTGTAGTGGAAAAAACTCCAACTGAGCGCCTTGTTACACTTCTGAAACTAGTGCTGGGGAACAACAACTTCTCTTTCAATGACAAACACTATCTCCAGATAGACACCACAAGTATGGGCACAAACATGGCGCCGTCATATGCCAACATATTTATGGCCCAACTTGAAAAACGCCTCTTGGCCAGTGTTCCATACCAGCCATCATCATGGTTTCGTTTTATTGACGATACTGATTTTAAATGGACAGATTCACAAGACCATCTGAATGAATTTTTAAAACACTCTAACTCTTTCCACCATTCAATTAAATTAACACACGAAACATCTATTGAGAAAATAAGCTTCCTTGATACTACGAGTTACATCCAATACGGAACCATTATAACGGACTTTCATACGATAAAAACGGACAAACATCAATTTCTTTCTACTAAAAGTTGCAATCCTAAACAAGTTGCTCCCGGTGTATCCCATTTAGCCAGGCATTGCGAATCAAGAGAATATGCTCAACCGATGCTAGACTTGGACAACTACGTACACATCTAATTGTTCGAGGATACAATAACATCATTGATACAGCTTTCGAAAGAGCAAACAACACAAGTCGCCATGAACTTCTGGAGTACAGGGATAAAAATAAAGGAGTCAACAGAACACCTCTTGTACTCACTTACCATCCTGATTTTAAAAATGTGTCATCCATTGTTCAAAAGCATTTGAAAATTGTAGAAAATGACTCCATTTTAAAAAAAGTATTTTCCTCACCACCAGTCATGACCTAAACACATCCGTGACAAAATAGTGACAGCTGTATTAACAAAGCAACCTACTCCACCTCCCGGTTGCTACAAACAATGTGGTAGAAGGAATTGCTTATGTTGTAAAGCTGCCAATACAAGCAGTTCTTTCATCAGCTCCATTACAAAACAAAGTTATACCATCTACTCAAATTCCAACTGTAAAACAGGGAACTCAATTTATGTATTAACATGTAACACTTGTGGTATTCAGTATGTTGGAGAAACAATGGATAAATTAAATATTCGGCTTAATAACCATCGTTCATGGTACAAAACCAATAAAAACTGTCCTCTCACAAGACATTTTCGCTCAAAGAAACATCCTTTTGATGTTACTTTCCAAAACATAGCAGTCAACAACGAGTGGGACACCACGGCGAGAAGCAGAAGGATAACTTTTGGATCCACCAGCTCCACACTTTAGAACCTGATGGTCTTAATGAAAAAGACGAGAAAAGATACAGGAAGGATAAAGAATAATTTAGTACACAGCATCGTCCTTTTTATTCTGTAATATAGGCCAATGGACGTTACAAACTTCAACCACCAATTTTGTAAATAATCTTGAACTACATCCAAATTTTTAATTCTTTACAAGACAGCTAAATTTATGAACAATGAGCTGCAAAAGTTTCTTATCTACATCCGATTTCACCTGGATAGATGCACTCTTGATAAAGCTAGTTTGTCTAGAGAAATATTGCGTTTATTTTTTATCGCGTTGAGAATATTTTAAACATTATAATATTTACATACTCAATAGTGTATTAAAATTACATTGTTATATAAACAAGTTATAATTGAAAACAACGTTCAAACCTATGATTGCGATGCATAAAAATCGCAATTTTTATACGTGTGCATGCAAATCAAATTTCTGGGTAGAGGGGTCTAAATACAGCACAAACAACATTTTCCAAAAGACCAAAAAAGTGAATAAGTATATTTTAACAAAACGCATTTGACTAGCAGGTCGAACAACGGATGTTCTTAAACCCTGTTGGCTGCCATTGGCGATTGCCAAATAAACAGATCATAAGATGTAACAAATTGGATCTTAACTATTAATTTAATACCACACAGAAAACAATAAACTTGCGGAAAAGATGGTATACCGCAAAAAAAAGGTGCAAACATTAGTACACCATATCCCGATTTCGACAATTAATGTCTCTTCAGTGATGTTAGGAATCGAAACTGTATTTGGAAGGCCATATAATTTATCTCAATTTAGGAAAGACTCTTGGATTTTGAAGAGTCGAAATAGGATGAACGGATCATATAAACCCGAAGGCAAATATAATACAAGCCCAAACGAAAAATATAAACAAGTCTAAATTGAAAACAACGTTCAAACCTATGATTGCGTTGGATAAAAACCGCAATTTTTATACGTGTGCATGCAAAACATATTTCTTGGTAGAGGGGTCTAAATACAGCACAAACAACATTTTCCAAAAGACCAAAAAAGTGAAAAAGTATTTTTTAACAAAACGTATTTGACTAGCAGGTCGAACAACGGATGTTCTTAAACCCTGCTGACTGTCATTGGCGATTGCCAAATAAACAGATCACCAGATGTAACAAAATGGATCTTAACTATTAATTTAATACCAAACAGAAAACAATAAACTTGCGGAAAAGATGGTATACCGCAAACAAAAGGTGCAAAATTTTTTACACCATATCCGGATTTCGACAATTAATGTCTGAATCGAAACGGTATTTGGAAGGCCATATAATTAACCACAATTTAAGATAGACTCTTGAATTTTGAAGAGTCGAAATAGGATGAACGGATCGTATAAACCCGAAGGCAAATAAACGTCCGGAGTAGAGGCATAAGTTGACTTAAATATCGCACCTGTCATGGGCGATAGATTGTATTTTACATTTGGTTATTTTCTAGTTGAGATTTTTTTTCTGGTAAAGGAGAGATAACTCTAATTGAAACACGTTTCATCGACCATAAAAAAACGTATTACCAGTAAGTATTCACGTAAAGTATTATTTAGCTTAGCTGTAACTTATGTCCTTTTTCATTCGTCTCTTTTGGTATGAAATAAACTCTTGCACTTTATTCCTTCTTACAGCTTGTTCCAATGAATAAGGAATTCTTGTCAGTTTTTATGTAGTGCTATCAAGTGAATATGAATAGTCCTTAAATGAAGAGGTCATATTTGTGGACCTTTCAGTCTTCAAAATGTCTAGGTTTTATGATCCTTTTAGGATAGCTTTTAACAAGAAATTCCTCAGGATTTATAAATGGGATCGCAGTTTTTACCCTCAACCCCCTCCCCCTGTACATAAATACAAGCCGTTGTTGTCTCATTCTTAGTTGGCTTGAATTTGGTGACCTTCTCTTGATTTGTACTCCTCTCGTGATAAATCTCGCAATCCTACATTTGATCCTTTCTAATTGGTTTATAAAGAGTCAATTGATAGTTTCAATCAAATGTGCATTTTTATAGATCCGTCTTGCTGATTATTTAAACTGTTAAGTTTCTTTTTATCTACAATACTTTTGAAGATAATAAGCAAACACTGTGAAAATCGGATAAAGATTGTTATTTAAGGGAAATAACGCCATGGAGTCAGTAGCTGATTTCAATCATGCTGTCGTATGTTTGTAGATCTGGTATGACAATTTATGTCTATTCGATCACCTTTCGACAAGAATATATATAAGCAAAAACGTTTATAATTCTCTAAACCCACCATGTAACGACAATACCTCCTATAAGGAGTTTGACCAATAATTAAGGTGGAAATGGATAGTAGGTAGTTCCTGACATTTTAGAATTTTTGTCCCCATCAGATTTTTCAATTAGGTGGAAATAGAAATAAGTTGTTTTTGACATTTTGAGAATTTTGTCCCAATCAGATTTTCTCTGTCTACTATGGTTTTGGGATATTATGCTATTACATGCATTTATCCCTATGTTTTTTTTTACATTTGGGCATGTTTGTTAATCGCAGGAATGAAAAACAAACTGTATACCATCAGGTTCAGCCCAAGACAATGACTGAGGCCAAGTGGTGGCAATAGCTCACATGGCCCATATGTGTCGGTCTCAAGTCAGTGGTTCTTAGTAGTTTATAATATTTTTCACCCTCACAGACATAGTGTTGATAGCAAATCTGCAATAGCCTATGTTTTAAAAAATGATTCAGACGGTACTTGTCCTTGCTAGCGGTGATTTAGCAGTACATATTGTTTAGACACGTGTCTATTGTTGAAAATCAAATATTGAGCTTTTTTCATTTTAGGAGAGACATCTATCACACCTCCTCCTACAAAGTAGTATCTGCAAGAGGAAAAAGTTGTTACATATTGAGCCAATAGCCATTAGCTTGTTTACTGAACAAACACCAAATTAACAGGTCAATGGTAGCAGGCATTTACTTTGATCCCTAAACAGAACACTTAATGAGCAAATCTAAAGTCTTGTTTATTGCTCTCAAAAGTATGTTTACTGTTTAACAATGTACAGAATGAAAACAGCTTTTATCACATATTCATAAATCACAAATACAGTAATAATACAGTTTAACTTCCACAAAATGTTCATTAATCACAAATACAGTAATAATACAGTCTATCTTTATACACAAAATGGAAAATATACAGTTTATCTTACACAAAATATACATGTATGGTTTACTGTGTAAAAATAGTTTTCTATGTAATGTATTATCTTTCATTATGCATCTGATGCTGAAATTCATGCTTATCATTATGAAATGTAAAATATGTAAGTTATAGACCTATTTGATTTTTGAGATTCAAAAATGGCAGATCACTACTATAACTGATCAAAACAAATCATAATTACTGTTTGTTTCAAGAGACAAAATGTTAAGTAAGAAAGTTATTACAGTAATCTGTAAAACATCAACTTCACAGCCCAAATGAAAATATTAGATAAGACTGCAGTTACTTAAATGACTGCATCTTTGCCATTATTTAATTGCCAGTCACAATTTCTCCCCAATACACTTACTATAGTGCTAATATTAAAAAAAAATCCTCAACTTATTATTGAGATATTTTGTAGGAATTGAAACAAAAGTTTTTTCTTTGGTTTTCATAAAACAAAACATGAGACATTATGGTTTGAGACCATCATAAATCTGACAAGATCAAGCACTATTCTAATATCACAGAAAACTACAGGAAAAAAATGTCAGACAGAGAAATCCTTGATATGGTATCTACTTCTAAGCCATCCAACTGGAAGGTAAAATGCAATGCTTTCTGAATATGTGCATGTTGGTACCTTTCCAGAACAATTGCATTTAACAAACAAAAATTATCATAATTTTCATTCAAATAAAATAACTTAATCCTTTAATAAATATGAGTATAAGAAGAAGATGAATATTTTTATTCCAATAAAGGGCCTGATGGGCATAAACATTTGACATGAAGTATAAGTGATAACCAACCATCAAAATAATGTTTAAAAAAGACGATGAAAACTATATTTTCACCCTGAGTAATGTTGCATGTGCATGAAGAAGTGAAACAAAATTTAAAAAAGACAAGTTTGCTTTAAAAATCTGTTGTTGACCTTTAAAGTATTAAATACTGAGTATTCCAAACTGCTGACACCATTATATTAGATTGTTTGTCATGTTATCATTTGCATGTTTTCGTGTGAAGTAATATTCAAATGATTAAACTAGAGGCTCTCAAGAGCCTGTGTCGCTCACCTGTATGTACTGATGCTTTGGAAATCATGTAAAATAAGGTTAAAATCATAATTAATAGTATTAGATATTAGATATTATAATGATATCTAATATAATAACAAAAAACTGCAAAATTACTAACTCAGGGGCAGCAACCCAACAACGGGTCGTCGGATTTGTCTGAAAATTTCAGGGCAGATAAATCTAAATCTGATGAACATTTTTGCCACCTGTCAGATTTGCTCTAAATGCTTTAGTTTCAGAGATATAAACCAAAAACTGCATTTTACCCCTATGTTCTTTTTTTAGCCATGGCGGCCATCTTGGTTGGTTGGCGGGGTCATCGGACAAATTTTTAAACTAGATACCCTAATAATGATTATGGCCAAGTATGGTTAAATTTGTATCAGTAGTTTCAGAGAAGAAGATTTTTGTAAAAGATTACAAAAATTTACGAAAAATTGTTAAAAATTGATTATTAAGGGCAATAACTCCTAAAGGGGTCGACTGACAATTTTGGTCATGACAACTTATTTGTAGATCTTACTTTGCTGAACATAATTGCTGTTTACAGTTTATCTCTATCTATAATAATATTCAAGATAATAACCCAAAACTGCAAAATTTCCTTAAAATTACCAATTCAGGGGCAGCAACCCAACAACAGGTTGTCAGATTTGTCTGAAAATTTCAGGGCAGATAGATCTTGACCTGATAATCAGTTTTACCCTTTGTCAGATTTCCTCTAAATGCTTTGGTTTCAGAGATATAAGCCAAAATCTACATTTTACCCCTATGTTCTATTTTTAGCCATGGCGGCCATCTTGGTTGGTTGGCGGGGTCATTGGACACATTTTTTAAACTAAATACCCTAATGATGATTGTGGCCAAGTTTGGTTAAATTTGGCCCAGTGGTTTCAGAGGAGAAGATTTTTGTAAAAAGCTAACGACGACGACGACGGACGCCAAGTGATGAGAAAAGCTCACTTGACCCTTCGGGTCAGGTGAGCTAAAAAAGGAAAGAATGCTGATTGGAAAGGGTGTTTTGATTTACAAATTAATAAACTATCAAACATTAAAACAGCTCAAAAGAAGGTTGGAAAAAAGTGAGTTTGCACTTTTGTAATATCAGTAAATATCTCCCATTAAAGTTTCTAAAACAATATAAATATACAAACATCACATTACTGCATGTTTGTGTTGCAATTAGGAAATAATAATCTGTTTAGATGAGCTGTAGATAAAACATTAAAATTATAATTATTAAACTGATCCAATATTAGAGATTGGTTTTCTCTGTGAAGAAATCTTAGAATTTCTATAAAGTGCTCAAGTGGCATGGAATACGAAAGAAATTAATGTTGGATTTTTCATCAGAAATTTGCTCTTCACTATTATAATCATGCTAGACTAACAATATGTTAATCATTGACAAAACTATCCTGAAAAGTTAGTATTAAAAAGGATTGATACAGACAGTAATAATAAACATACACAATAATTTCTGAATTTACAGTTAGACGTGGTTAAAACTAAATCAGAGGGATATGAAAAGAATAAAACTAAAATTGCCTGTGTGAGGTAGTTCAACAGATCAACATATCAACATATATCACATATAATATTAATCATCACATCTATAATCAGAACCATGTATACTCAATTAACAAATATCATATCATGTCCATTTATATGCCTTTTTTAGCTGTGTGAAATAAGCTGAAGTAAATATGTAATAACACTTTAGTCCCTGATATGGCAACATCAACTTAAATATTAATCACATATTAATCCTTGTATTTCTCTTTTTTTGGTGAAGTTTTTTTTTTCAGAAATTAATTTTGTTCCTTCAGTTCAGCAGGAAAAATAATGTTTTTGTTACAAGAAACTGTTAAAGTTATCTAAAATCGACAGGCATAACATTTAAAAAGCTTCCACCTCATTTTTTTCATAATATCCAAAGATCTGAAAATTGAATAAGCGTGGTAAAAATTTATCTTGGTATTTGGGTAAATAATCCTCTGACAGAGTCACAGAGATTTAGGGGAAAATTTCATTTTTTATTTGTAAATCAAATTAGGAAATAAATGGTTAAACTGAACACAGCATGCCATGAATTTAACATGTTTATATGAACTTGTGTAGAAATTTTTAAATCGGTATGACGCTCATCAAAATCTCTTTCCAAATTGAAAGAAAACTAAACAAAATTCTATGTACAATGTTAAAAGTGTGATATTCAGTCCCTTTTGATTAGAAACAGTCCCTTTTGATTAGAAACAATCAGAGCTTTGCAAATCCATTGATATTTTTCAATATTCTTGTCAAGGGGAGACAAATGAATAAATCACATCCAAATTGAATGAAATTCATTGAACCATGTGAAATTATTGACTTTACAAGACTGTCACCCTTATAGCTTGTAATCTAAAGAGCTGTCACAAACTATACACTTTACAACATCAGTAAACTTATAAAAGTGAATTTAATTTTTTGTCTACAGATGAAAAACAACACATCCATACCAGAAAATTTGCAGTTTAAAAATATTCGTTGAAAAGACTATTTGTACATCACTGTACATGTTTGTATAAGTAAATATATAGTAATCAATATATGGTGACCTTAGGCCCATGACGTAGGAAATGAAATATATTTGAATTTGAATTTAAACTACATACTGGTATTCAGTTTTAAACATTTTTTATATGCTTATCTATATTTTTAATAGGATGCAACCCCATACATTCAACAATATCCACAGTTATACATGAACATATTGATTCTGAATATGATAAAATTAAATTCTATCTGCTGAATAAAGACTCCCCCTATTGAATTTCACAATGGTGGATTCTAACTACTAACAACTTCATATTTTTCTAATTACTACAAAATAAACACTGTCGTATAACATTCTGCCAGATGAAACAATAGACAGAAAAATAATTGTTATAAAGTGACTTAAATATCACTGTAAATAATGAGACAAACAAAAATATGTGTCCATAGGACACCATTCCCTGCTAGCACTATCATTTTCGAGGTTCAGTAAACAGTAAGGTAAAAACTGTAATTTGGCATATATTGTAAAAATTTCACATCATACTGAACATATGTAAAAAGTTTCAGGTTAAAGTGACCACAGCTTCATTGTAAATTACCTTAAACCAAAACTTAAATCTATCTTAAACTAAATTTTATCCTGAAATGAGAAGATAAAATGAAAAAAGCGCATTGACGCACAGACAGAAAAACATAATGCCAGCCTATTATTGTAGGCGCATAAAAATAAACACACATGGCCACATTCTCAAGTTTTTGTATCTTGTTAAGTGAACTTGTTTTAAAAATTATACACATTTTATTGTATTACTGTGTGTATTTGGACATTTCTACATTTGATCTACATGTAAATCACATGTTAATAATATAATCCTCAAAAACTGAGATTATAAAAAATTCGGTTTCTCTTTATCTTTCATGACAGAAATCTTAAATTCTACAAATGTCCCAAGCCAAGAATGTATATACCACAGGTAAAATGTCAAAACAGTTATATTTGGCTATCTTTGACTTGCATTGCTATTCTTATGGGGTATGTCTTTAAGAAACATTTCTATTACATTGTATTAGAACAACATTCTCATTCTCTTCATGAAAGTGCTGAAGCCTCTTCTGGCAGAGTCTTTGCTCTTTTTTTTAGCATGGAAGGATCAAAACCTGGATGTCTCCGTGCATGTTTGTTGAGATGGTCACTCCTCATGAATCTTTTGTCACATAATGGACACAGAAATTTCTTTTCACCTGAAAATAAAAGAAGATTATTAAACTAGTTAGCTATTGACATGACTTATATGACTTATGGACAAACAGGTGTATCAAAAAAACTATATATCCCCACAACTTCAAAGCATGGGGTATAACATAAATTTGATAATTCACATGAACATTGCCTTTAATGTTTTTCATTTCACCGTCTGTAGTAAATCCCTTCATCCATATTGACACAGGGATATGTCTCGCTTTTTTGTAATTTTGATAGTATAATGCAAATATTGAATTCAATGGCAATATTTCAACATGTAAACTATGCAAAACATTCAAAGTCAATGAACCATGACTTATGGTGCAGGACCAAATAACTCAATGGAAATGAGAAATGCCAATGCTAACAAAACTGCATACCGAATACCATTGACTTATCAGAAGTGGTTCCCTTAACAATAACCTTAACACAAAATTTAATTTGTAAACAATTTCAATGAACCATGCTGACTGAGTGGGGCCATACAATCACCATGGAAAAAAAGAGATATGCAAATGCTAATTCAACTGTATACCAATCATTGACTTAACATTAGCAGTTCCTCTTAACCTGATCTAGTCATAAACTTTACATGTAAATTATGCAAAACATTCAAGGTCAATAGACCATGACTAAGGGGGCATAGCCAAATAATTTCCATTGAATGAGATGTGCCAATGCTAATGCATCTACATACCAAATATCATTGACCTACCACTAGTGGTTCCCCTTTAACTGACCTAATCAAAAACTAATACATGTAAAGTAAGCAAAAGTTTCAGAGTCAATAAACCATGACTGATGGAGCGGGGTTGAATAATGTCTATGGAAATAAGATATGCCAATGCTGATGCATCTACATACCAAATATCATTGACACACCACTAGTGGTTCCCCTTAAACTCACCTTATCACAATCTAATTCATGTAAAGTAAGTAAAAGTTTCAAAGTCAATAGACCATTACTGAGGAATTCATGTAAAGTAAAAGTTTCAGTCAATAGACCATTACTGAGGGGGCAGATCCAAATAAATTCAATGGAAATGAGATGTGCCAATGCTAATGCATCTACATACCAAATATCATTGATCTACCACTAGTGGTTCCCCTTTAACTAACCTAATCACATGGTTCCCCTTTTACTCACCTAATCGCAAACTAATACATTTAAAGTCAGCAACAGTTTCAAAGTCAATAGACCATGACTGAGGGGGTGGTGTTGAATAATCTCCATGGAAATGAGATATGCCAATGCTAATACAACTGCATACCAAATATCATTGATCTACCACTAGTGGTTCCCCATAAACTGACCTAATCACAAATTTGTTCATTGTGGACACAGCCGCCGATGTGGCAGACGTCTGAAACAGCATACCTAAGTCTCGGTTTTTGACTCTGTCAAGGCGAGACAAAAACTAGTAGCTGTCAGATTGAATAATTAATAGAAAACAAAGAAAAAAAAAGTTTTAGACTTAAAGACTTGAAAGAATGTACCAAATGTATTTTTGTCTTTTTACAATTTGGTGTTGACCATTCTTTGGTAGTCTCGGTTCTTTTTCTTCACAACTTGTCTGCACTCAAAGCAATTTAGAACCTAGCATGGCATGGACACAAATTTTGCATGTTTTTTTGTTGTTGGGTTACTGTCTCATGGTCATTTAACCAAATATTTCTTTTCCTTTAAAAATAAACAATTTATATTTGTTAAACTTTTCTACTCTGATAGTATGGTTAGTCCATATGTGATATCTCCTGAAATCTTGTTACCAAATAAAGGCATATTTCTAGTGTACGCATGTACATGTATTTTTAATGTGTAAATGAACACCTTTGTTCCTTAATAAACAATTTTTCAGCATTTTATTTTCTGAATAAAAAGTGATGGTTTCTTATTAAGGATTATTTTCATTTCTATACTTGTTACTTTTTCCTCTGTGGTATATATTTATGATTGAATTTCTATTCAATTTGATTTTTTGATTTGTACCTACCAGTATGAGTTCTTGTATGTCTGGCTAGCTCATCAGATCTTGCAAATTTTTTACCACATCCAGCCCAGTTGCACAAAAATGGTTTCTCTCCTATGAAAAAAAAAACAACAAATTGAATAAATTATTACTTTAATATTTCTCCATCACTATACACCGTCAATTCAGAAGGCAAGGAGTATAATTTTCCTGCCTCATGCCATTATAAAAATGGGTTTGGAAGGTCTGAATTGTTTTTGAATGTTTGATTTCTTTATATCAACAAAATCAGGAAAAACCATGTTTTCTCCAAGCTGTATCCTGAATTACAAATTATACATCTCTAAATTCATACATGCACAAAGGATTGTTAGAAATTTTTAAAGTAAGGACACCTTTTACACACAAGTTTGGTCAATAGTAGTACAGATTTGACTAAATAAGCAGAAAAAGCATTCATAGTAGCTTCATGTATTGATTGATGATGCAGAATTAGATTATTTAAAGTCTGAATAAAATGCTTCGCTGAGCGCAGCCAGATATGACCACAGAGGTCTAACCCTGAACAGTTGGGGCAAGTTTGGCTACAATATTCAAGCTTGATACTGTCTCAATTTGGATTGTGATTAAATTTTTGACATAATATAGGTTTCTGACACAAAATAAATGTGGTCAAAGATCTTGAAAATTTGAAATGGGACATTTAATTTACCGAGAATGGTCTGATATCCAAAATCTAACAATATGGTTAGATTCAGCATATAAAAAAACACCAAAAATTTAATTTTAGTTGAAATCAAACAAAGTTTAATTTAAGACCCTTCAAACCTTAATATGGACTTATTTGAAAACAGGGCCCATAATAAAAAATCTAAATTCTCAACAAGATTCAGCACATCCATCATACAGCCGCAATAATTAAGTTTTTGATGAAATCAAACAAAGTTTAATTTTGGACCATTTTGACGTCAATGTAGACTAATTTAAAAATGGGGCCTAATATCCATAAAAGTAATACAAGGTTAGAACCCCCAAAAATTACAGACTTTAAATTAATCCCATTGAAATTGGTTAAAAGATTTGTATTTATTTTCAATTGAAGATTTCTTGCTATTGCACAATACTGTGACTTTAAGATGCAATACTGTGCAATAGAAGATTTCTTGCTATTGCGCAATACTGTATATAAAAACAATGTATTGAACTCTACTTTAATTGGTCAGAGGGCCTAAGGGAAGATAAGCTGTAAGCTAGATGTTTTCTCTCTTACTTCCATTGTTTACTCAAATGACACAAAATGTTTTTTCCTTAAGCATTTCTTTTGGCAAGGCAATACATTTATTTTAGGCTCGACCAGGAGGTGGGAAAATAGGCAAGATTTTTTTTAGCATTCTGCGTGAAATATCTTTGACATTTAGTGATAAAATGAAATACATAAAAAAAAAATCATTAAATCCGAAATTATTTAGCTGGTAGGTCCATCATTTTTTGATTTGTTGGTTAACTCTGGAAGCTCTGGACGGGGAAAAAAACTTAAATCTTTTTGCCAGGAAATCCCTTTTTTTATATTCAAATAGATGATTATTTTTAGTTCAACTTAATGTGACAGGGAGTCTCCAATAAGTTGAAGAAAAAAGATTTTTTTTTACACATTTATGGTGAAACAACGGATCCAAACTTTTTGGGACTAAAGTCTTATGGAATGATAACAATAGAGTGGAACAAACTTATTGAAATAAACTTTTTACACAAATTTAGTTTGGTGTAAACTTGCATGTTCATTAATTTCCCATTCCCAATCAGCTGCTTTTAGAAACTTAATTGTAAATGCATAGACTTTTTACAAATATCACTCCAAACATTAGCTTGTGACATGTAGGTCAACCTCCCCCCCCCCCCCCCCACTGAATTACAGGCTCCTGACTTGGGACAGGTGCATACAGAATGTGGCGGGGTTAACCTAGTTTGTTGCTGCCAAACCCTCCCCTAACCTGGGACAGTGGTGTTACAGTCCAACTATAAAAATCAGTTGAAAAGGGCTTAACACATCAGATCAATACAAAGCAGAAAAACATCTAACAAAAACAAAGACCAGACATGGCAGGGTTATCTATATATCCCCTAACAAAAAAGACACTATAAAGTACAGATCTGAGAGTACTCGCACATTTATTCATATAATTTAGAATTCTTTTAGCTATTTATTTTGGTGGCACTTCCGACACATCCAGTATGTAGCCCTATGTTGCATTTTGCAGCCAACACGTTTCAGGTGGTACATGTAGCAATCAAGACACCTGTTGCAAACTATAGATCCATATATCTATGCATGTCTATACTATGATTTTGAAAGGATATAAAGTTTCCACTGACCACAAATTGGACATCTTCCTCATTCGTATCCATACTTAAGAATACTTGTTTTAATCGACCCCTATGGCAAAAGTGAAAGTCATGTTGGTCTATACATCTGGAAGTTTAATCATGACATGTTAATGTTTTACATCATAATTTAACTGTTTAAATTTATTACAGATTGCTCGCAAATCAAACATTTTTTTAGATCAGTGCCTGTCTGAATATAATTATTTTGTGGATAACCATTAATAACTGTAGATCACAATAAAAAGTTATATAATATTGTTGCCTGCAATTTCCGTATGAAACCAGGTCTATGTCAAGAAATACATTTTGGCAATTAGTCTTGTAAGTAACAATAATTATTTCTCATTGTTATTTAAACATGTTGCTGGTAATCGTAGCCAGTGCCTTAAAACAAAACCACCCAGGTACACAAACAAAACATATCCCAGTTGTTTGAACATCTAAAATTTCTGACAATCCAACATATCAACTTTCAATATTGTGACTGACATATCTAATTTTGCTTTTTTATTGGTAAATAGCAAAAGTGGGACAGTTGAGATGCCACATAGCAATCAACAAGTAACAAAATAATTGATATGCAGGTACATCAATGAAACAGACACCCAACAAGACAAATAATCAGGAATCTGCATATTAGAGACCATGAATTTATAGAATTAAGATTGCACAGTAAGAAGATATCTGTTTGATTTTTAAAATAGATAGTTGTTACTATTACTATGGGTATTTTTTTTACGAACTTGACCAGATATTTGGAATATCTATTGACCAAGATCGTACTACCACGCCCATTTTTGTACAAACCTGTGTGTGTTCGCAGATGAGCTTTTAAATGAGAACTTTTCCCATAAACTTTATTGCACTCTTTGTAGATACATTTGTGTACTTTTCTTGAGGAAATACCAGTCGTTTCTAAATAATCTTCATCGTCACTGTTGTCTTCTAAAGTGGGCGTGGTCATTTTAGCGCGCTTTCGATATCTTCTGTTTTGGTCATTTCGGACAAGAAAATTTTCGTCATGTCTCAATGATCGAAGGAGTTCTGGTTTGAGATCCGTTTTATAATAGTCATGATCTGTGTTTTTCTTTTTGTATCGCCCTAAATCTGTTAGTACTCTTGCTAGAGAAAACAAAGAATCTGTTTCTGTATTGGTTACCAAGTCAACCTCGTGTTCATCAATTTGTGAATCAGATGATTCTGCTCTTGAGTAAACTACTTTATTCGACATTTCCACTAAACATTCTGCAGCTAAATTGTCATCAAAACAATCGATACACTTTTCTTCCAATGTCATACTGAATAAGGCAAGCTATCGTCCATGTAAACAAATGTGTTTCAGAAGCCTTTGTTGTCTTTTTAACGACAATGAATTTCTCTCTTTCTTCGTTGGAGGTTTTGATCTGGTTTAAAGATTTAGTTGTTCCATACTTTTTTCTTCATTATTCTATCAAATGTCTTCTATCTCATGTTCCAATGTGTGAAAATAAGTAGCTGAAACGCTCATAAATGTGCTACCGCGTGCAGTGGGCGTGTCACATAGCGGAACTGACGTCAAATTTTCGCCTTCATTCATTTTATTGGTGGTATCTGAAAAGCCGCGAAATTATTTTTAAACCATTGTATTTACTATAAAATCCTTGCTATGGGTGAACCACTGGAATACATTAAACATTGAACATATTGTATTTCCTATTCGGATCCCTTGTTGGGCATACAGATGATACATAACAGATCATAACAAGTTAGATTGACCCAAACAGATAGCAAAATCAAGGATTTATAGTAGAACATTGAGATTTTGTTCTAGTCATCTCAGTATATATATCATAAGAATAAGAACAATTTATATTCAAAGATTTATATTTTACTACATAAATCCTTGATATAAGTATTGTTCAATCCCTTGGTATGATATCAATGTACAAATGGTTTTAAACATAATATGTGAAGATATATTTAATAATGTTTTTTTACTAATTCAATATTAGCTGGGAACAGTATATCTAATAGTCAATATATATGTTCCTGATATTAGTTAGCATAAAATTGATCAAAATTTGAAAGCGTACATAAAATGGTTTTGTCTTCATTATTCAAGACCAAATAAAACTGTTTCCCAAATGTTAAATGATAAACACATTCATGTTATCGTTCATTAGCAAAGAGTGGACCGTTCATGCTGAAGTTGAAGGTGAATATCGATTTAATTAATTAATCTCCGCACTCGTTCATTTTTCAAACTTGGTCGCTGCGTACCTATTCATCTTCAACTTATTTAGACAATGCACCTTTCTTTTGTTTCAGGAGCACGTTTAACTGCTCATTTATTTTCACTTTTTTCCACGAACGTATAGCGCCCAGCTTATAAGTGAAGTTGATGCATACCAAATCTGAATTTGGTTATAGAATTACAGCCGATTGCATTTAGTGTGTAGGTAAGGGTAATATCTTTGGTTAGCTTCTTGCTAGCTGAACCGTGAAGTCATTATTAGGAGAGGTATACAACCCTCCTTTCGAAGTAGCCTAGATCTGTACTTAGTGTCTTTTTGTTGTTTGGATGTACAAGTACCCGGCCACGTCCACTTGTATTTGTAGTATTTGTATTTTTATCCATCGGATGAGTTAAGCCTCTTTCAACTGATTTTTATAGTTCGTTCTTATGTTCAGTACTGTTACACCACTGTCCCAGGTTAGGGGGAGGGTTGGGATCCCGCTAACATGTTTAACCCCGCCACATTCTGTATGTATGTGCCTGTCCCAAGTCAGGAGCCTGTAATTCAGTGGTTGTCGTTTGTTTATGTGTTACATATTTGTTATATTCGTTCATTTTTTGTACATAAATTAGGCCGTTAGTTTTCTCGTTTGAATTGTTTTACATTGTCATTTCGGGGCCTTTTATAGCTGACTGTGTGGTATGGGCTTTGCTCATTGTTGAAGGCCGTACGGTGACCTATAGTTGTTAATTTCTGTGTCATTTGGTCTCTTGTGGAGAGTTGTCTCATTGATAATCATACCACATCTTCTTTTTTATAGTCCTACAGACAGATAGATTGGTTATCTGTCGGACTATTCTACTCTTAAAGGAGGATAGTTTACCTAACCTAATAATGACTTCATGGTTCAGCTAGCAAGCAAGCTAGTCAAAGATGTTAGCTTTACCTACATACTCAATGCAATCGGCTGTAAGTTGTTTTAAATCCAAGATATAGGCGTACTTTTTAAAAATGGCTTTTCGTTTTTCAATTATCTATCAAATTTGGTGAGTTTACCTGTCGGACTCTAAATTTCTTTTCAACGTGGTACGTCTGCCTAAAATTTTAGAAAAACAATGACGGATTCAGGCGGGGGCGTGGCGGGCGTGCGCCCCCCCCCTAAAATTTGCAAAGCATGGGTTGTCCTCAACTTAATAAAGAATATTTCGATAATTTTACCTCAAAAAAATTTAAGTTTGGGCCCACATAACCTAAAATCCTGGATCCGCCCCTGAAAATTACATCTCAGACATTGCAGTTGACCGCAAAACTTATATAAAAGACAGTGGATACATGCAACGAGTGACAATATACAATAAGCTTTAGTTAGAGTAGGTACATCTTATAACAAACAAACATAAGCTTTAGTTAGGGTATAGGTACATCTTATAACAAACAAACATGAGCTTTAGTTAAAGTAGGTACATCTTATGACAAACAAACATAAGCTTTAGATTAGGTACATGCATCGTATAACAAACAAACATAAGTTATAAGCTTTAGTTAGGGTATAGGTACATCGTATATAACAAACAAACATGAGCTTTAGTTAGGGTATAGGTACATCGTATAACAAACAAACATGAGCTTTAGTTAATGTAGGTACATCTTATGACAAACAAACATAAACTTAAGAGTAGGTACATGCATCGTATAACAAACAAACATAAGCTTTAGTTAGGGTATAGGTACATCGTATAACAAACAAACATAAGCTTATAAGCTTTAGTTAGAGTATGTACATCGTATAACAAACAAACATAAGCTTTAGTTAGAGTAGGTACATCGTATAACAAACAAACATAAGCTTATAAGCTTTAGTTAGAGTAGGTACATCGGATAACAAACAAACATAAGCTTATAAGCTTTAGTTAGAGTATGTACATCGTATAACAAACAAACATAAGCTTTAGTTAGAGTAGGTACATCGCATAATAAACAAACATAAGCTTTAGTTAGAGTAGGTACATCGAATAACAAACAAACGTAAGCTTTAGTTAGGGTAAAGGTACATCTTATAACAAACAAACATAAGCTTTAGTTAGAGTAGGTACATCGTATAACAAACAAACATAAGCTTATAAGCTTTAGTTAGAGTAGGTACATCGTATAACAAACAAACATAAGCTTATAAGCTTTAGTTAGAGTAGGTACATCGTATAACAAACAAACATAAGCTTATAAGCTTTAGTTAGAGTAGGTACATCGTATAACAAACAAACATAAGCTTATAAGCTTTAGTTAGAGTAGGTACATCGTATAACAAACAAACATAAGCTTATAAGCTTTAGTTAGAGTAGGTACATCGTATAACAAACAAACATAAGCTTTAGTTAGAGTAGGTATATCGTATAACAAACAAACATTGGATGGAGAGTTGTCTCATTGGCACTAATACCACATCTTCTTATATCTATATAAGCTTTAGTTAGAGTATGTACATCTTATAACAAACTAACATAAGCTCTTCAAAGCTTTAATCATTGACAACGAATGACAATATACAATAAGCTTTAGTTAGAGTAGGTACATCTTATAACAAACAAACATTAGCTCTTCAGAGCTTTAATAATTGACAACGAATGACAATAACAATAAGCTTTAGAAAAGTAGGTACATCTTATAACAAACAAACATAAGCTCTTCATAGCTTTAATAATTGACAACGAATGACAATATACAATAAGCTTTAGTTAGAGTATGTACATCTTATAACAAACTAACATAAGCTCTTCAAAGCTTTAATAATTGACAACGAATGACAATATACAATAAGCTTTTGTAAGAGTAGGTATATCTTATAAAAAACAAACATAAGCTTGTCTGATAATTTACAACAGACGACAATATACAATAAGATTTAGTAATAGTAGGTATATCTTATAACAAACAAACATAAGCTCTTCAAAGCTTTAAAAGTTGGCAACGAAACACCACTAGTGGAGCTGGAAATGTTTACTCTTCCGGAGCATATGAGATCAACACCGGTTTTTGGCGGAGTTCTTGTTGCTCAGTCTTTGGTTTTCTATGTTGTGTTTTGTTTACTGGTGTTTGTCTTTTTGTTGTTTTTTGTTTTTTGCAATGGCAGTTTTTTTTTCGACTTATGGATTTGAATATACCTTTGGTATCTTTCGCCTCTCTTTTGTTAGGTATTATTAACAATATCTGAACATATTCTCCAAAGACAAACATCGGGAAACAATTAAGACATTTCTAGATATACAATTTAAAACAGATTCACCTAGTTGATATATCTGCCTGTTTTGGTCACTGGTGGATACTAGTAGTTATATCTCATTGGCCATGATCTGCATATTTTAAATATGAACAGTGACCGATCTCCTATCATAGTATTAGTAGAACAAGGCTATATGTGAGAATTTCGAGTTGTGGAAGAGACTTATAATATAATTAAATACCATAAATTATACATGAATATTTTCATTAATAAAAATAAAATTTACAAGGGGGATTTAGAAATCATAGATTTATTAAAACTTACTAAATGTCGTAACAGTTATAGAGATTTTTGTTATTGAAGTATGTATAGTTCCACCTGCAATATTTTTATAAACAGTGCCCATTTTGCATCCAGCTTGTAGGCTACATTAATTCTATGGCCAACAAGTTAAGAATTTGTCTGCCAAATGGGTCGTTTTGGCTAAAAAGTCCTATTGATTAAGATTTTGATTATAATGTTGTTTTTCAATCACTGTGTCTATCATTTGTGTTGTTAAACATCTACACGACTTTAATATTCTGCATTGACAATATGTACAGTTAATTCTGTGAATTGTGGAAGATAGTGCCTTTCTGCACTGTTCTGTGAATTGTGGAAGATAGTGCCTTTCTGCACTGTTCTGTGAATTGTGGAAGATAGTGCCTTTCTGCACTCTGCACTGTTCTGTGAATTGTGGAAGATAGTGCCTTTCTGCACTGTTCTGTGAATTGTGGAAGATAGTACCTTTCTGCACTGTTCTGTGAATTGTGGAAGATAGTGCCTTTCTGCACTGTTCTGTGAATTGTGGAAGATAGTGCCTTTCTGTACTGTTCTGTGAATTGTGGAAGATAGTACCTTTCTGCACTGTTCTGTGAATTGTGGAAGATAGTGCCTTTCTGCACTGTTCTGTGAATTGTGGAAGATAGTGCCTTTCTGCACTGATTATTTGACTTTACTGTAAGAAAATTTCCCATGAAAAATATTAAGTTTGTTTTTCATTTGTTGATAGTTTTGCTTAAATGTCAACAGAATTGTAAAAGTTACTACTAGGGGGTGTT